TCTTTGGACCAATCAGGCTAAGATAAAACCCACACGTGACCACTCCCTCCCCCCCTCCGAAAATAGACGTTCAGGTAAGACCAACGTCCTTTTATAAAAATAACAAAGAGGGGATAAAAAAAATCTTTTAAAAAATAGCACAGTCTTAGAAGGACAGCTTTTAATCAACAGAAGGAGAATCAAAATAGCAACTTAGGTATCTTCAACTAAAGGTTTATCTGTTACTTCAAACTTTAGCTCTTCTTATGCTCTCATGGAATTCTAATCTTTTGATGAAATGTTCTCGCACAGTTACAGTTCATTTGGCTTACTTCCAGAACTATAATAACATGCTTTAAATGCTCCTCTGTAAGTTTCTCATTTCAAGCCCTTTTTTGGTTCATGGTTTTCTCCTTCTTATGCAGGAGAAGAGCACGTTTCTGCCAATATTTCCAGTCACAAAGCAGAAGACTGTAACACTTTGGGAATATTAGCCAGTTTGCATAAACCTTCAGGACTACAATTGTCCGACAGCTGGCAAGCATCAATACTGATCTATTCAAGCAATGATAACAAGACATCCTTAAACACCAGTACTGTGATTCTAAAGATAGCCAATTATCCTAAACACAAAGGTAAAATTTTGCTATGACTTTTTGAAGGGCTATTGACCTGATACCTGCCAGAAACATGAGATTTACATTCAATTTGAAGGAAATAGCTTCATGCACTGCTAAACAAATGCAAGAGAGATCTTTTCTGAGGTCTCACAGGGCAGTGGGCAGTTCCTAACTGCTACAGTGGGGGTCCTCAAACTATGGCCCGGGAACTGGATACGGCCCATTGAAGCCATTAATCCAACCCACGAGGGATCACAAGGCTGCCCCACTTACCTCCCCCCCCACCCGCCTCCACTCACCTTCTGGAGAGGCCGAGGAGGCCAAAAACTGGCCTGTTTTTGGGTGGCAGAGTGGTTTGGAGGCCGAGGAGTTCAAAAATGGGTCTGTTTTTGGCCTCCCAAGCCTCCAGAGAGGAAGGAGGGAGGAAGGGAGAGAGATGCACACACACCCCCAAGGTAACTGCATCCCTTCACTAGCCTGCTTTCCACTGCCCAGGAGCATAACAAATTAAAGTTTAATTTGTGTGTCTTGTTTAATGGACTGCTAAATTGGCCACACCCACCCGATCACATGTTCACCTAGCCATGCCCACCCAGTCACATGACCACTTAGTTCACCCTCTCAGTCACATGACCTCAGCCAGTCCTCCCCCCCCCTGCCAATTACCTCCCTGCGACCAATTAGATCACATAGATTAGGCCTCCTCCGAGTTCCATCTGCCAGTCAGTGCC